TAATTAACTGTTCTTAATATTAGAAATAACTGTTTCGTATGAATATTTTCATTAAGACTATATTATAAATATAAATTTTTTTTTTTTTTTTTTTTTACTAAGTACGTTAGAAACATGTATAAATTTTATACAGGGACTTATAAATATTTTTACAAACACCTCTTGTCATTATCGAAATTATATTGTTAAATACGTTTTTTCGAAACTTATACGTATCTTAATCTTTTACATTATTCTTTATTCGTAAATTATAAGAAATATCAATTTTTTCTAAATAAAATCGAAGTCAGTGTAGATCATGAACATTCTTATTAAATATAATTAATAAACAAGAACAAATTCATCAGCTCCTAATAGGATCGAATAACTAGGTAATGTAAGAGAGACAGTAAATGAAAAACATCACCATTCTCTCTTAAACGTTTCTTTGAAAATGAACGACAAAATACATTAAATGTTTTGAGATTTTCAGTTATGGAAACGAGTGTTATAGATACTATATTTATGCAATAGATTAATTTTCACATAAACTTATTTTAAATTAATATTCGCCTCAAAGAAAAAAGAACAAAAATTTCTATTATAAAACATAAAAATGTTAAATTTAGCATTGTAATTTCTAAGTAAATCTTATAATTTACAAAATGAGAAAGATTAGTTAGTAGTATGCAGATGATGAAAATATAAAAAGAGATTTTTTATCTAATGAATTTAGAAAATGAATTGATTTATTATTAACGATTATTAACATTTTCATGCACTACAGTTCTCATATTTTATAAGATAGGCCGATAAAGGCAAGAACTATTAATTTATTAATTTTGTACTATATTATTTTGATAATGTTAATGAATATAGAAATAAAAATCTCATTTCACATTCGTATTTTAAGATAATAAAATAACATAAATTCCTGTATATTCAATCTCCGCTACTATAAAAATTATTTTAATAAAATTTATCAATATTTGTGTTTTAAGATTATAAATTTCTTAAAGAACGTTGATATTATTTACACTATTAAATTGTTAAAACATTAATAAATATTTAAGACAATTAACAATAAATGTGTATTCACTAATTTATATAATAAAATAAGTGTACAATTATTGCATAAACATCAGATACTTAGTAAGATTAAATAAAAATATTACGACAAAAATAAATGTCATAAGTATATATAAAAACTAATTTTAACTTAAAAACAAAATTTAATACTAATAATAGTATTTATTAAGAAATTAGCAAGTTTTAAAATTATTATCTATTCACTACTCTTATATATAACAATCCATTTGATGAACAAAAATAATGTTTCATAATGTAATCATCATAAATTCAATTCGGTACTATTGAAAAAGAATGCGCAACAGTTATTCCATAAACAAGTATAAATATGAAATTATCCAATAAATTATTTTATTACGTAGAGTGTACGATTACAAGTGATGATGAATGATGATGTCTGAAGTCTCAAACAAACAAATGCTTAAAAAAAAAATATTAACAATACTTTTAATATATAATTATTCTACTTACTTTTGATATATTATTTTAATTTATGCACATGTGTTATGTAGTTATAAACAAAGATATTGTGTATAAAACAATTGATTTTTTTTTTATTTCATTCTATAAAAATATAGAGACTTTCTCAATTAATATAATTTTGGATAACAAAATTATCATTGATGTGCAATAATAAAATATGAACAGTTGTATTTAAGCTATACAATTATTGTTTAAAATTTCTACAATATTAATAATAAATATTTTCATACTGCTAAATTCGTAATTTTAAAAAATAATGTATTATGCGTTATTTTATAATAAATCATGAAAGAAAATTTCGGTAAGAGACGTGCATTTTCATTATCATTTTCATTAAATGATACATATAATATGATAATAGAAATTCATTCATAGGTGCATTGCTTTGTTACAGATTATATTGATTGCTCCGAAGAATATTTATTGTTTTACGAGATCCATACACAATACTTTTCATACACTACTTCCTGCAATACTGCAATCCTACATTAAACATTAAAAATTACAATATTTACTTCCTCAACTATAATCCGCCAAAATCTCTCGCTCCATGCTTTACAACCAATTAATTCTATGCTCATTGATAAGATCTCTTTCAGATTTAGCTCGGGGAGCCGTGAGGTCGAACCCATTGACAGTCGAATGGCTTCGACGTCGAACGCCAAAATAATCAAACTGTCACACAATCTGATTGTCAGCTTGTCATTTGATCAAGAAGTGCGAGTGCCTCGAGTCTCCCAAATGCTCATTCACCAAGACTAGCGTCGTTCAGTACATGACATACGACTACAATCCTCTACCGAGGTTTGCCTATCCTCGCTGCAACCTCTACAAACACATACGTAAGATGCACCATGGTGTTCAATGATCAATTCCAATGATGAGACGTTGTGTGACTATGCCGTGCATCAGTCCTTGGGAAAATCTCTGATATTTCCAGCGTGATACATTAAGGTGCTCTCCTCTCGCCTGATCAAATAATTAAAAATCATAATTAGATCGGCCGCATGGATGAAAATGTGGATATAATTAATAGAGTGTAGATGAGAATCAATTTTGAAAAATTATCAACATCGATTAATGTGAAAATGCCTGGATTGTAAGCCTACGAAAAACTTTTTAATTTATAAAGCCATTGCTTTCCATTTACATTTGTTTTTTTTTTTATCGTGTAGTTTTTACTTATTTTTATCGTAGATTGCATAAGAAAGTAAACTAATCGGCTAATAATAAAGAGACTTCTATAGTTAGAGCTATTTTTAATTTAACTTAAAAATTAATTAGACCATGAAAAATTATAACTAATAGACGATTGTCTATATTTTTATCATTTCTCTTTTATTTACGTTTGTCATTATATTGGTAATGAATATTATTTTACCGCTCTTTAAAACGCGTATAATATAAAATTTGTATAATGTATTGGCTTCTTTATTTAATTAACACATAATGTGTAATAATAAAAGTATGAAATAATAAATGTAGACAAAACTATGCAAGAAAAATAGAAAACCGAATTGAAAAATATATTGTACTTTTATATTATTCAATTATTCAATTATTTTAAACAAAAAAGGTCATGACACTTGTTCAATTCGATGTCAAATAAAAAAATTGAAAAAGTAAACAAAAAATTTCAATACATAAAAAAATTTCCCTCTACGAAATATATTGCAATTATATTTTTTTTTTTTTTTAAAGATCATATTTGCAACTTTTATGAGAACAATTTTGCGTGTGGGTGTGCGTGCGCGTGTTTGGAATCTTTATTAATCCCAATAGTATAAATACCTATTTGTTAAGATAATGGAAATTTTTTTTTTTTTTAAGGATAGTTGAATGGAACTGAATTGGATAATCGCATAATTGTTAAAATATTTATTACTGTTATGGAAATTGATGTTTAAAATAAGAAAAACTGTACGACAATTATTTAAGATCAGGCGAAAAGTCAATATTTTTATGAAATTATACAAACCACAATTTTTAATAATTCAAATTGCTTATAAAAGTAAAAATTATGATTGGCATTTAAAAATTTTCATTCTGTAATATAATAATATTTATAAAAGTAATGCCATCGAGATATTTTTTAAATATTTGGAAGGTAACATATATCTGTATGTTTGACATGAAGGAAATATGAAAATAAATTATAAAAATTTAATAAAAATTAAGTTGATATATTAGGTTAATATATGTTTATATATATTCGTTTGAATATTTTAATTAAACTAACAGTTAAAATTTATCTTTGTTCTTATGTAATATAATATTTTGTGGCTTATATTATTTAGAATAAACTTTTTAAAAAATATTAAAACTTTTAAACTATTACGTAGAAATTATATTCTGTTTGATTATTTTTACGTTCTCTTTATGAAAAATAGTTTCGTTGAAAAAAATTATGTGAAATATAAAAAAAAAATATATTAATTAAAAATAAAAAATCGGTATGACATACTTACTTATTGAAATTGTCAAAATTAGAAATACAAGTTGACGATAGCAAATATTATAAATTGTAAGAAATATTAGTACTTAATTTACGTTTTAACACACACGTACACCACACACACGTACCACACACACACACACACACACACACACGAGCGCGCGCGCGTACACGCATATATGCATAATGATAAACTTTTAAAATCCGAATCAATTTTTATTATTATTATTATAAAATAATTTAAACAAATAAATATATATATTTTATTTTACACTAATATATGTGACATTATTCTTTATTTATTATCAATATTATATTTTGTTATTAACTGTAATTGTGAAAATTGTGTTTAATAATTAATAAATTAACTGTATGTTATGTCCCTATAATAATCTAAATTAGTGATTAACATATTAACACAATAGCGTGTGATAAATCGCATAATCCATACTAACAATTTTGTAACTACCATTAGTAAATTATAATACCATAAGTAATAGAAGACTTTTCTAATTTTCAGATTGGCATAATTATTGTAAACGTCATTCAAATACTTATCATGGTATAAAGTTAACTTATGGATGCCCATATTGTGAATATGGTTCGAGAAGGACTACTGTGATTTATTCACATATACGAAAACAACACAAGGGCTATAAAGTTTATTATGTAGATTATTAATTTTTGCATTAAAATGTAAATAATATTATGTATCCCAATAAATAATCAATAAATCTCTTACTTTCTATCAAATGAGGCTTTTATTAATTTTCTCTTCATTACAATTTCAGCTTAATAAGTACACGCATTACTATCAATAATACCATTTGCTCTTATGTTGATAGTAGTGTAATTTAACATTTTTTTTTTTTTTTTTAATTTTTTTTTTTTATTAAGTTGCTTGTGTGTTTTGTAGGCTTTTTTGAATGCATCATCAGTCTCGGTTAATGTGTGAACGATATTCTAAAATTATATTTTGTTTCCTTTGTTTCAGTTTTGGAGATTGACAATATGTCAATTAATCGTGTTAATCATTACGATAACAATGAGGACTCCGATACATTGCAATACTCGATAATTTTAAATAAGAAAATCCAAAAACCGAAAAAAGAATCGACGGTGGATATTAATGAAAGGTATCAGCAATACTCTATACAAAGTGTCGGTAATGTTGAAGAAAATAATCAGGTGATGACAATGACGAGAGAAAGACAAGGGAGACGAAGATTGGATAGATTAGCCAAGACAAAGTTGATCGTCGAATCACAAATAAAGCAAATTCCAGTAACTAAAGTAACAAAAAGAAAAAGGGGTCGCCCGCCAAAAGAAGAAAGTAATATTATAAAAAAAAGACCAGGAAGACCGCCAAATTATCTTAAAAGCCTACAGCAAGCATTTGAGCACGATCGATCAAAGACATCCTTGAATAAAAGAAAGCTTAAAAAAGAATCGCGACGTAAAACGATGACTGGCACGAATATAAAGGAATGCGATTACGATGCTCTATTAAAAAATCAAATGGTGATTTTACAAAAATCGTATAATAAATCAAGAAATAAGTTCGAATCGTTAATAAAAGAATTGAGAATGTCATATGCACCGGAGGCTAAAGTTATGAAGAAAAAACGTGGTAGACCTGCGAAGATTCTTAGTATGCCTGTTCCACAAAAGGATGTAATGGCAGGTTTATTAAATAAAAAATCAGAAAAGCGACGCAAAAAATTATCCATAAGTGACGAAAGTGAAGCAATTACAAATATCATTTCAAATGTTCAACATCAGTCTAATGTAAAAACTTCTGTCTAAATGTTTAGCTTTAATCTGTAATATTATTTAGATAAAGAAGCTGCACCGCTGCACAAGTTACATCTGTAATCTTATCGTTTCGACATTTTATTTAAATTTTATTTAATTATTAATTATTAAACGACTAGTTTCTTGAATTTCTTTAATCTCTTGATGCATTTTTGTAATTATTCTTATATTCACTGATTACAAATACTATTTGAATTTCATCATCACCCTTCCTTTATGTTTTGAGTTTCTGATTACAAATCATATCAATTATTACTAAAATCCAATATATTAGACAAAAACAAAAGTATGGTAATAATGTTTTTCGTTTGTAATTTTATCTCTTAAATATCTACCAAAGTATCGTTAATTTAATTATCAATAGCAATTTTATCTTATTTCATTAATCTTTCGTCCATAAATCAACTCCTTCATTAAATTCTTTCATTGTAAAAATTTAAATCTGTTTCGTATTTTTGCATTCGCTAATAACATTGAGCGGACAATTTTCTTTACTGAAAGTAGCATTTAAAGCATTTAAAATTATTTGCATTTAATTATCATTGTCAAAATATATGCAAATAGCCATACCTCCACTCCGGCAATTAGACAATCGGAAAACCAATGATTAGTAATATATTATCTATTTGTATCGATGCCCATAGCTTTTCAGTCTTTTTTTTTTTTTTTTTTTTTTTTTTTTTTTTTTTTTCAAAGCACCGAACGTCATAAGAATTCGCTTTGCATTATATTTTGCAAAAATAATCTATTTCATTATCATTTAGGTCGATCGATCTAGGCGTCCAAGATCGTTTTATTCGCTGACTATTTGATCTCTGTGAGTATAGTACGTAATAAAATTTCTTCGCTCGATACATAATCGTACCAAATAGCTTTGGACGATATTTGAAAAAAAAAAAAAAAAATGAATTAATCTCTCCATCCTCCGATACTAGTAGATATTACGAGTGTTGTACTATGACCTTCATATTCGAAATGATAGAAGAAACATGAAACTATTCATTAATACGCTCAGCTTCAACAACTTTGTACCGTTTGCAGAAATTCTCCCAGTCTATCGAGTAATCTTCGTAGCTCGTCGCATTAGATTCAGCGAGATGAGGCGATTTTCCAACCCACCCGAGCCCCAAGCTTCAGCCGAAGCATCTGTGTAGTTTGTCTTTCTTTCTCCAGTTAAAAATGATTAATCAATGTGATAATGTGCTCGTCTCAACCTGACTGCAATTTCGGTCTGCAAGCCCTCGGACATGCTCGGACGTATGGACATGTCGGATCGTGAATTCGAATCATAACAATTACGATGAATTACATTTATTTTGAAATTCAATTATAAGAAATTTTATCAATCTCACGCGGATACTTCAAGTTACAATTGCAATATCCATCGAGCTGATGGATGCAAAATGACGCAATATGATAACTTTTCTTAATCTCTTACATTAGCATTACGTTAACTCAAGCAATTATATTTTTCATTAATAATCAATACGAATATTCGATAATATTCTATTAAGTACATACAGTACTTTTTTGTGTTATTTTTTATAAAGTAGTTAGTACAGTAGCGACAATATTACAAATACAAATTATTGCACTTCACGATTAGCATCTCAAAATCCTTCGCAGGATTATTCACCGCTATGACCTTTATTAGTAATGTGAATTTTGAAGTAAACAATGCTTGAGTGCTTAGTGAATAAAAATGTAAAAAATGGGCATTATTATTCGGTGATCCTACAGCTTTAATAAAGTTCCGCTTAGCATCTAATATTCATCTAGAAGCTTTAAATAATTTTCGATTGAATGTTTCTCTCTCTAATCCTCTTAGTTGATCGATTAAGTAATTCCATTGTGTATCAATGAAATAGCTTATATTTAAGTTTATTAAGTTCTATATCGTTCATTATTATTATTTTTAACGAATATTGCCTTACAGGCAAATTCTAAAGATTTTTCACTTTGACAAGTGAAAGCTTTTTGTAAAGCTCTTTACTATTGTTTATTCTATCTTGATTGTACTACAAGTTTTTATCCATTTAAATATCTTTTTTAAAATAATTATTAATCGCAACATTATTATAATTCATTCTCACAAATATTATTCGCATAATAATTGTAATAATAACAACAACAATAATAATAATAATAATTATTATTATAATAATTATTATAATAATAATTATTATTATTATTATTGTTATTGTTGTTGTTGTTGTTATTATTATTATTATTATTATTATTATTATTATTATTATTATTATTATTATTATTATTATTATTATTATTATTATTATTATAGTTGTAGTAGCAGTAGCAATAATAGCATTATGAATATGAGAATAATTTATGCCAACATTTTTTTATCAATACGTCTACGAGTATTATTAATTCGTATATATCTTGATATATTCATAAATGTGGTTCATAAATTATTCCAGTGCTTTATAATTAATACAAATTTCATTTCGTTTAAGCAATTGTATTGCGTTTTGAAATATTTTAGTAATTATATTTATTTGTTTTATTGAAATGTTTTATACTATAATATGAATAATGTAATTCTCTAAATGTTAATATTATCATTTTTGGAATATCATATGTTTGCGAAACAAACATATTTTAATTACTATTGCGCATAATAATGAAAATGAATTGATTGAGCTTACAATAAATAATACTAGTATTTAAGAATGCGTGAATTAATGTAACATACAATAATAAGCATTATTTCCTTAATAAATAATCAAGTTCCCTCCACTCTTGTTTCATTTTCTCACTTATTCGATTTAATCGCATAGAATATAATAATTAGTCGTTTGGTACAGTGCCAGTCAAGATTCTCAAGACTGTAAAGTCTAGTTATACAATTAATTATATATGACGAATAATGTGGTTCGACCAATAGTAACGCAACTATCTTCCATACTTTCAGTCACCATATAACAATTTCCACAGTTAACAACGAAAATTACTACAATTGTAAATATACATAAAAAATGTCTTTTATGATTATCTTTATTTAAGATTAATATCTTTATTAAAAATATAATGAAAATCTGTATGTCAACACTTAATCCTTAAAATAAGAATAAATAATAAATAAACTGTGTATTTGTCAATAAATAATAAAAGGTATATAAAGAGAGGCTGCATTACATAAAAATATATGTAACCGGATATATTTTTATTAAATTGATGTATAAGACTAATAAGCCGTGGATTAATGTTGGTCTTATGGATAACAAATATTCAAGCAATTATATTATTTTATCGAAAAAGAAATATGTTAGAAATTAATTTCACATTATTATCGATTTTGAGAAATATTTGTAAGGGGCTTTCCATGCCAGTCAAAAATATTGTCTAAATATAATAATTCTTTAATTATTAAAGATGTTAAGGAGCAATTTTAATGTATATTTTGAAAAGTGTTTGATAATATGTTCTATCGCTCGATTTCTAACTCAATGACTATGAATATTATCTTAAAACGCTTTCAGACTTCAATTTGTTATAACATAATATTCTAAAGACGAAATTTGTCATGCGATCCTATCAAAAGTTATTTTTGTATTATAAATATGAGAATAAAAAATGTAAACATATTTGTCTTGCTTTCTTTACTACAATGTATAATGTAGTATAATGCTCTTCGTGTCCCTAGTATAACTACTCAATGATTTTTTTTTTTTTTGTTCTACAGCCGTTGCCCAAACTCATCGACATTGATGATGAAAGAACAGTGACCCACGCAAAATTTGTTGAAATTGTCTTCGTACTCCTTGTCGTCTTACAACTGGTCACCTTACAGGCAAATTTTGCAATTATTGACCCACTAAACCGATAAATACGTACTACAACAGTGACATCCTAATCAACTTGTTTGGTTGACAAATATATATTGACGTATCGATTACAAGTTTATAGGCGTACATTTTGAACGATATTGGGACAGAAATAATTATTATTACTATTATTATTAAGGAACATGTTAATAATAATTTAATGCCATAGAAGATATAACAATAGGATAAGATAATTGTACAAGCAAATGCCCTGTCATTATACATTATTTCGCAATTCGACCGTTTACTATATGGACATACTAATTCATGTAAGAAGAAGTGACAATTTTTTGTCGAAATATTTACTAATTAAAAAATAATCTTATTTACAATTGTATTTATGATTTTGTTCAATGATAATTCTCAATTTTACCGATGTAGTATACATAAAAAATAGACCTGTTTAAGTACATTGAATTGAGACGAATCGCAACATAAAACAAATTGAACTCTTATCTTACCTTAATTGTAGTCTGACATAAATAGGTATATCATCTTAAATACGCAATTTAAACATTAATACAACTGCTTAATTCCAACATATAAAATTTTATAGTGCGAGAATTAGTTATGAGAATACGATTTTCCGTGTTTCATACGAGAAATGTTAACCTGCCCATTAGCATATGCAAATTTTACAAGCAATAATTCTTGTAAAAGAAAAAATTAAGAAAAATCATTATTATATTGCAGGTAATTTAGTTAACGAGAAAAAAAAACAAAACAAAAAAAAAAAAACAAAAAAAAAATCAAGTATTTCTGAGAAAAGAAATATAAATTTGACACAAATTTAAAAGAAATGTTGTGTAAAATAAATGTTAATCGGATTCAAATAAACGGCCTCGGATATTTTGGAATCTAAACTATACAATGAGAATTTAATCGACGTATACGTGGACGGTACAACGATAATCGCATATTAACAATTGCAATAACAATTTTCAAACCACGTAGGAAAATCCGTATTGCACACGACACTCAATAGTGCCAACTCGAATCAACACAAATCCTCGCTAATTCCTCTTTGTACTTTATTTTTTTCAGAAATCGGTGCGAAACCCGAGGCCTGGATTTCATCGCCATCGTCACCAGACTTCACGAACTATGTCTGCAACACCTGCAGTGCGGGATTCCGCAGGATCGCCGATCTGCACAGGCACAAGTGTGGTCCGCCCCCGCGCTATAGCTGCCCTTACTGTCACAAGAAAGACAATTACTCGTCCAACATCAATCGACACGTTAAACGTTGGCATCCCTATATGCCTGTTAAATTCAATAAGATATTCTAAAGCGCGAGGATCACGCGACGAAGGTAAAATTCCCAACTGATCGTCACGATGGATTTTATCAAGGAGCGTGATAAGTTATCCGACTTTATTCACTACACGGCACACTTGACGTCCCGTGCAATTGCACTTACGGGAGCAAAGTGAACATGAATTAAGTGCGCCGTGCATGCAAGAAATCGAGATGTTAAACGAGAGACTGTAAAATAAGCAATGTCAGTTTTTTCGTTTACGGATTTTTCATTTATCCTGTAAAATAATATCTACTTGTGCCAAACTGTGTAACATCAATTAAATCCGTGTTAAATTCTATATTCCAACACTATGAACTCGTGCATTAGTCCAATCGATTGCACAATCTCCATTGACAATATTTAAATTGTCGAATGGAATAAACACGTTCCTTCTACTATCTATTTACATCTATTAATCGACACTGATTTCCGTAAAAGCTTAGTAAATATTACTCTAATATTATATATTTATTCAAGCGGCGCTAATTAAATATTTTAGGAGCCAAACATTGTTTTATACGTATTTTATAAGTACATTGTATCGATAATAATTATTTACATAGGTAGAATCGAGTTAACTAGTGTATAAATAAGAACAATATTAAATAATATATTTATGCGTGAGATAAGAAAGGATTAAACAGGCTTAACGATAATTGAAAATCCATCGTAATTATTCTATTTCATTCACCCCGTTTATGAAATTGTACATTGTAAATATTTAAGGCACAGAGCAATTTTAAATTGTTACATACATACATACATACATACATACATACATACATACATAAATATATATACACACACACACACACACACACACACACATATATATATATGTATTGATTGCAAAGAAGCATACAAGTAAGATAAGGATGAATAATCGGACGGGTTTAATGAAAAGCCCAGTGTAGAGTCTATCGAATGAATCTATCGAAGGCAAATGAAATTTTATTACAATTACAACAGACGTATTTATTACTTCTCGTATAATTCTAATACTCTTAATAATACGAAACTTTGATTAATTTTATTATTTATTGAACTAAGACTATCGTAATATCTAGCAAAAATTTTTTTTTTTTTTTTTTTTTTTTGCATTTTTATTTCTCTCATTGAATCCAGATGTCCATCAACCGTATTTATTATAACAAATACCCTTAACTAAGGGAACGACCTAATATAGATGTGTTGACTTTATTTCGTAGAAAATTTACTAATAGCCATTTAATGACACTTTTAAATCCTCTAACTTTACGTATTTTTATTAATCTTATAAGTAAATTTGTAAACAGTCTCTCGTAAAAGTTTTGTCCTTGTTAGGTAATAATCCGAGACTTGCCGAAGCCATACATAATTTTCAATCATTATCAAAATTATCGCTACTATCTCCTTTAAGACTTGCTAACTGTACTTAACGTTAAAACATTCATTGCTTTCATAGTTAAATTGTTTCAACATTAGCTAGTTAACGAATGTAACTTTTTAAAATAATTTGTGCCATACGAAAGAATTACTTACACGTTGATGCTCGTAATCAAATGCAGCTTTTAACAATATCCATATGAAGGAATTATGACGAAATTATTTTAATTTAATTTAACGCAATGAATTACGTAACATTGATATATAAATAGTTAATATACTGTATATGGTACTATCGTCGAAGCAGTGTATTTAGAATTTGGATTTCGTTATTGCGAAATTTTTGAAAAGAATTTGCACAATTGATCGACATTGCTATTCTGTGCAAGATACATTGATTAGGTAATTGTAGAATTTTTATGATTTATTATAAGGCATCTGTTTTTAAAGCATTTGCATATTATTACATTTAAATGACTTGCCTTAAGACATTTTTGTCATCCTGCATAAAGATAACATTAACAGCGATATCCTACGGGAAAATGTTATTAGTCTTTTCATCATTTTACTTCATATTTGTACTGAGAATATTAATAATCTACGACGCAAGTCTAGTAAACTATATTTCGTTAAACTAAATTTTGTTTTACTCTAAATATCCTTCTCGATTTGACAAGAGATCACGAACCAATCTTAATTGCATTTTTTAGCAAATCACTTTCAATTTATAAATATTTCAATAAAAAATGACTTGGACATCATACCGATATGGTAATAAAATGTAATTGTATAGTTGTATAATTAATAAATATAGTTTATTATTAGAAATTTTTATGAATTTAATGAAACTCTGCTTTGATTCAATCACTTCTGAGATTACATTTCTTACATCTATATGTACGACCTGAATTGTCTTATAGTAGACATATTTCATAGAGAATATTGCCATTTTAATAATTTTATTTGGCTATTTTTTAAGAATGTATCAATATCAAAATTGCTTCCGAATCGCTTGAACCAACCTCCATTCAATTTCTCTCCATAACTTTTGTTAATTATACGTGGAAGATTATTCATCTGCTTCTTTCGCATTTGAACGAGAATCTTCTCAAAATTATATTTTTGTTATTATTGTTTAATACGTAGATAAATAGTTGATTGACTGTATGCCTATATACGACGACTTTCCCAAGCATCAGTATTCTCTATGCCGAATTCGATGTAACGTTTCTTACAATTTTCAATTTGAATATTGCATTATACGAAATCTGGCGAGCCAATGTTTCCGATATTCGTACAACTATAAATTGATTATATAATGCGATTATTATTAAGCTAATAATTATAAAATCGGTTTCAATGGTATTTTTTGATAAGGCTACAGCTATCATTCGTTAAATTATAAAACGTTTTATGGCTTTTTTCAAGAATAAATTGACAATTTTGTTTATTTTCATTTTATGAATTACATATATAATAGTTAGTGTATCATAGATGTCATAAAATAATCCATAGAAATTAAAATTATTTGTTTTTTTATGGTTTTATGTATCGATACTTAAAAATATAAATATGCATAGGAGTAGTGAAATTTGGGAATTTCTTTTTTTTCAGGATAAATATAATAGTATGCGATAATTTAAAATAATTTTGTACTGCTAATTTTTATCTAATCTAATCAAATAATTTTTAGTACTCAGTATTCGACGGTCTTTAGCTTATATGATTTAAGTACATTAATTCATGACATTGCAATTAACTTTCAAACTTTGATGAATAATATTCGTAAACTATCATTTATTATGTATTTTGCGAACAAATTTAAGTTTAAAAATTTTTTTTTATATATATATATATATATATATATATATAAGATACAAGAATAATAATAAAAAAATATTTTTATGTGAAAATTAAATATTCTTATTATAAAACTATATTCTGAGCTTGATTCGTACATCACTTACATTTTGTAAAAACAATAAAAATTAGACATTTTAATTAGAATGTTTAAAAATTATTATTGCATTGGATGGCCATTTTTAATACGACACTTTACCGAAAATAGCGATACTGTATTATTTTTTAAATATTCATGATATATTATAATTAATTATAGCAGATAAAATAAACTATTTGATTGTGAATTTTTTTTTTATAACCTTCTGATATTGTATGCTGTGTGAAAATTATTTCATTAATACAAGTTAATATTATGTAAAAGTCATTGTATACATGTTGTGTGCCATATAAAATTACAATCTACGATTTAATTATCCTTAAATTCACACTTGAGTTTTGAAAAGTAAAAATTTTGTAATAATAATTAATACTTTTTCCATTGTACTTCAAATGCAAATATAATTTTAATTGTACATTTTTATATTTTATTTATTAAATTAATTATATGAAAATAGTATTTTTATTATTTATATATTCAAATTTTATATATTTAAAAATTTAATTGATTTGACCTCTTTTACATATACGCAGTTGAATTATAATTAAAAATGAAATGTAATGTTATTGCTATTTGCGTTTTAAAAAATTTATTATTAAAATAAAAATTTATTGTAAAATAAAATTTATTATTAAAGAGTTTTCTCATAATCTATTAATTCCTTTGTATTTAACATGTAATATAATGTTTAATTTTCAGAATGTTTAATTCGTATTCTCTATAGATATATTGTGTTGCATAATATATTAGTTGGATTAGTAAATAATGCAACGTTCTAATACACTTAAGGTGAAAAATAAACTTTGTGAGTACCTTTGAAGCTGCATTTAAATAATTATCCGAGTAATTTGTATTGTCGTAGAGAGGGAACTCGGCGAGAAAATTTAAAGGTAATTAACAGTGATTCCGCGTCCCTTTAATTATTTGAAATATCTGACGATATATGATATATTTTGTCCGGTACTATATTGAATAGACATAATAATTTTTCGGATAAAATATATATTAAAATATATAAATACATATTTTCCGGTATCAATTGAAGAGAAGCTAACATATTATCCTTGGCACTTAACATTAGCCTTAAATCGCGTGCTTTTATTTTATAGTTTGTAAACGATGTACATATAACTTAACGAATATATAATTGTCTAAATACGAATTTTTAACATTTTATTTTAAACGTTTTGAGATTTTTATATTAATTTATTTAAAAAAAAAAAAAAAAAAAAAAATGAATTAGCTACAAACTAAAAATCTTTATTTACCGTGATACATGATCGTTATAAAGTTGAAAATTGGTGAAATTAAGTGTGCAATTAATTTTTGTAAGTACATTTAATGTGTATCGTCAACGTGCGAATATACTTTGCATATTAAATATATATTATAGACTCTTCATAATTTAAGAAATTTATATAATAATACAATAATTGAAAAGTATTTATTTAAAATTTAATATTACATTCAAGCCAAGAGCCTTCGATGATGTTATAAAATTTAATTTATTATTTCTTTATTTTATTTGAAGGATGGTAAAATAATTTCTTTATCATTTACCTTGTATCTTGCGATGAAATTTCATAAAAAGTTATGAAGACTAATCACCGTATATATTTTTCTTTTCAGATATAATAACTAATTGAGTTGAAGATTAACAAAATTTTACGTACTCAACCGCAAGATTTATATAATTATATCGAAACACGAGTATGAAAAATGTCAAGGAAGCTTTGACGATGAATAGAATAATAATTGAGCATTTCTTTATTTCTTTATTATACTTTATGGCAATGATCAGTCCTTCGAGTGTCCTTACTGCCGCGGGCTTAATTATAATATCGACACACGGGCAATCAACGTATTAATCATAAAGCATCGAATTAAAAATTCTTTTATTTTTTTTTTTTTTTTTTTTTCATGTTCAAAACAATCGCACGCATCGTGTAGGCGAGAAGGAGGAGAGGAGATGTTCGAAAGATTGACTGGTTAGGGGTGGGATGGGGCATGACAATGATTTCAAAGTATAATGGACTTGAATTAATATTAGTTGAAAAATGATTGATAGGAATTTTCAGCCTGTGGAGGCTTAAGTCTGTCACACCTATGAAAAACATCGTTCATTGTTATTGAAACGTAAGTAGAGATAAAATGCTGCAGGAGCATGAGCAACATATGTATTTTAATTTCACATTATCGTTTCAACACTTTTGTCAACATGAACAAATGGTACATAGCTCGTGTGAACGATATTCGAACGAATATTATTGCGATTGAATAATTATAATCGTTAGTTAAGCCACATGAATGCAAGGCCACTAGGGCCACAACACCAATCAGTCCAAACATGCATACATAAAAATTACGGATCACCCATTAAAAAAAAAGAAAGAAAAAAAAAAAAAAAAACAGGAGGAAAGTGCTTAATTCGAAACCTGCGTCCTTTCTCAAATGCACCGATCAAGCATCGAACTAACTGCTTTATCACTACCTCCTAAAACAAAATCAAACGAGCCAAAGTGCGGATAGATAGATAGAAGCTTAGCTTGGCCAAACCACTCGTTAGCGACGACGAAACGACCTCCAACTAATAAAAAAAATCTCCTTATATGTTCCCCTAGGTTCGCTGCCGATGCTCATGATAAACCGCGCGGCTCCGAGTTTCCGCAGCCTCCCCATCACCAAGGACCTCACGGCCGTGTGGATGGCCCAGTACGCGTACCATTGCGACAAGTGCGGCAAGGGCTACCAGCACCGGGCGACCCTCCTCCGGCACACGCGCCACGAATGCGGCAAGGAGCCCAAATTCAAGTGTCCCTATTGCCCCCACAAGACCAAGCAGCGGGGCAATCTCTACCAGCACATCAGGACCAATCATCCCGGGAAGAACGTCTTCTCCGACACGGCTTGAGGACGTGGGCGCGCGTCTGACGGTATGCGGTCGGCCGAGTCGTCGACAGCCTTCTCATCGCCGTCGCTCCAGTTTCACGCGATGGAAGTGCCGATGGGATCGCCGAGATGCGCGCGACATGTCTCAAACTTCTTATAATCGGATTGTCGAGCGGCTGATTAAGCGGCGATGCTCGGCTCGAGTCTATTCTATTCGAAAATCAAATCTATTTGTCGTTATCTATTTCATTATGATTTCAAGTATGAATTTGGTTTTAGCCAGCAACGAAGAGTCGTGTGCTGCGTGGGCGAGAGTGACCCATTGCATTAATGATATTAATGAAGAGAAGAAAAAAAAAATAAAAATAAGATTAAATGGAGAAAAGAGAAAAGATGGGTAATAAACGAGATTAAAAGTGTCATTGACAGAGTGTTGGGAAGTGTAAAATTTGTTGGAATAATAGTGAGTGAGAAATCCTTTAGATTTTACGTTGCCGTAATTATAAGTATTCGCGTGCAAATCGGCCCTCGAACATTTACAGAGTCGTATTAACACGCAATTGAGTTACGTTTAAATTTTCTAATAATAATAAAGATAATGTCCAGAGCAGTCATTCGCTATATTATAGAGTACCATGAGAGCTGATAATTAAGGATTCGATTAAGCTATTTAGTTGTTTCAAAATTATTTGTTTTTATTAATTTAAAATTTCAAAATTTTAAATTTACAAGGACGATTAGTAGGCTTGGTAAGGATTTTAAAAATCGGCAGTCCCGTTACACAGATCTGCTTTAACCAAGTAGCCAACAATTAATTAAGAAAAGCCAGAGTTAATTTTACTATAATTCATTGGAAATGGGCTTACTTATATAAAGTAAAGACGTTTCGAACGATCAATTAATACATACATACATACATACATATATATATATATATATATATATTAGTCCAACTAACTCCGATTTTATAAATTAATATAATTCCTAACTTATTGAATGAAATACTCATAAAAAAAAAAAAAATGGACCTGATACGATACTTACATATATATTGTATAAACAAATATAATCATATTTGTCACAGATATACTCGAGTGCGAATGTATTAATAACTGAATGCATTAAATTTCATTGCGTATTGTAAGATAATAATAAATGATCATATTTATATATATATATATATATATATATATATATATATATATATATATATATATAATGAGCATGTGTTTTATATATGTAACTAACTATACATGACAATTTATAGAAATTTATAATTTTCCATTCTGAATGTTCTGAAAATATTTTTGAATCAATTGACCCAAGTATAGTTCTAGTCAATGGCTACCAACTTCTGCACATTAACATACAACATTTCTTATTAAATCTTAACTATTATTCAATGACAATTGTAAATCTAAGCAACACAGTATATTTAGACAATGATTTTTATGATGGAAGCACGATTAAATGGTTACATTTTTATAAAGCGAAGGAAAGATTAATAGTGCTGACGAAAGCAAGCGTTAAAGCGAGTAAGTGAATTTTTTAAATAATTTACTTTGATACCGACAGTATTACATTTTTCTGCATTCGATATATACAGCTTTATACCACCTCAAATAATTATATGCCATTATTGCATTGTATAGTTGAAATTATTTATTATTCAATGTATTTTTTAAAAACATTTCTTTACGTAACCGACACAGCGCGTTACAGCTTTAAATTTATAGGCTTTCCACGCAACCGCAATGCAATTTCGATTTCAATTTTATACAATTTTAGTATAACAATAAACATTGATGAATAATCACATTAGTGAGATAGATATTTAATTAGATATTTAGACATTTAAGATTATAATTATAAAAATAAGCATAATAAATATATAACGCGCTTATATGAAAAATAAACAGAGATGAATTAATATTAATATATATATATATATATATATATATATACTTGTAATTGTAAACGTATTAGAACGGAGTAACAAGTTTCATTTGAAATATTAACTTTTATTATAAATAATGCAAATATGACACTAATAAAAACATACTATTAATATTTCTATTATACAAAGCCACTGTTGACTGAATATTTGTATTTTTTAACGATAACAAATTTATCTCAAGTTCCTAAAATGTTTCCGACATATTTTTTTTTTTTTATTTTTGTTGTTGTTGTTGTTGTTGTTGTTGTTGTCGTTGTTGTTGTTGTCGCTGTTATTAATTCATCTTTATTCAATAAAAAGTATTATTACATTACGATAAATACGTCTCTAACGTACAAGCAGTGTACACAAACCAAACATACGCATATATTACAAACCAAATATATTAATATAGATAATCGTATAGACGCTTAGAATTATTTTAATGAAAGTAATTGTTTTTTCTTTAAAATAATATGGTTTTTCTTACTTGGTTAAAACAGTTTGTGTAATTGTTCATATTTTAAAAAATAACAATTTTTAAGTGATTCTATGCGACAGATACCACGATCTTCATTATATTTCGCTAGCATTTTAAGAACTAATTTTTATTTACTTTAACTATAAGAACTAATTTTATATTAATTATTTAGTTATAATATTAATTATTATAAGTGTTTTTTACAATTTCGTTTTTTCTTCTCTTTTTTATAAGTTTATTTATAAGTTTTTTGTATAAGTCTATACTTTTTATAAGAGGAATAATTATAATAATAATGATATTAATAATAACCTGATCATTCGTTGTAAATTAACAATTTTGTGTAAATTACACGAGGATGTGTTCGTTAGCGTTCACTGTATACAGGAATCGATAGATCTGTAGAATCATGGATTACACTATTGACATCTTTCATTGTCAATAGAATAGCTTATACTCGTGGGTATAGTTTAACTTTCATTAATCTACCTAAGTAATTACATAATTCACTAAATGCATTGTATTTCAGGGTAAGAAAAATATTGAAATATTTAAAATATTGTTATCTACAATATAATTAATGCCGAAAGCTCGTAGATACATCTCTTAACGGATAACATTTTATTGTAATTAGTCGATTAATAAGTAGTACGTTATATTAAAATTAATAGAATTTCCTCGATGTGATTTGCCAGGAAAACATTAAATTTGAATATGTAATAAATATAAAAGATATCGTCGTTATAAAAAAAAAAAAAATAATAATAAATTATCGATATATATGAATAAGATATACTGTATGGGTGAAACTCGTACAAGTACTCGAAGGAGAATATATATGGATATATTTATTTTAATTTTATCATTTTCAAATTATTATACACAGATTAAGAGAATTTGAATTGCCGAATGTAATTTAAGTTACCTATTTGCCAAAATATCGATGATGCGTTTCCACTTGTACAGCCGCTAAAAACCATAATACTATGATAATGTACTTTTTCTTTTCTTTTTTTTATTTTCTTATATATATATATATATATATATATATATATATATATATATATAATTAACAAATTGTATTAATAAAAGAAATTTTTAAATCATTATTAAACTTATTGTGTTTGATTGTGTGGCTCTAGTTATTGTTGCAACCTTGTATTAGATTATAATTTGCCTTACACAAATTATATGCAATTTAAATTAATTTTAAAAATTATAATTATATTCACTTATGAAAAAAAAAAAAAAAAAAAAAAAAAAAAAAAAAAAAAGAAACTCCTTAAAACTAATTTAAATTTCGTTCTAATAAATTATCATTATAATTTAAAATTACAAATTTTTCTTTTCTCGATAGTATAACACGAATCAAAAGCTCTTTATATAAATAAATCGTTCAACTTTATTTATTTATTTATTTATTTTTTTAGTTCAACAAATTTAATTATACTACCCTTGCTACGTAATCATGTGCTATATAATAACATACGATAGCAGTGATAAAGTATGCCTTGTGATTACAGATTCAATTATAATTCGTTGTTAAAATCATATAGACCAGTGTGTTGCTCCGAGATGTGTATCTTAAATTTGAAGATCTCATGCTCCTGAGAGCATATCGCATCGTACTTCCAGCAAATGGATGTTTATACTGTACAAAGAGCTGAGGACGTTAACATTTTCATTGTATCTAACAATCAGTAGTTAGAAAACTGCGTATAATAAAACTTGTCTTTTAACACAATGTATCCTCTGATCGATCGATCAATCAAGCCATTAGATATTATAAATCAATCAATGCTATGTGGAGAATTGGTTCGAAACGATAATTTTTCCTATTCAAACAATCGACCAGTGCCTAAGTTATTATTGTGCGGATATTATACTTTGGTCGTTCTCGTAATTAACACACCGTCCACGTTAATAATTAATAATCGCCAATAGTCTGTAACCCGCTGCACGCCCGCACGTACAAAACATAAAAGTCCCGTGGCTGAGTACGTAAGACATTAGAAAATGGGGAAGCGCTCGCTTTTCATACCTGGCTCAATTTTTATTTTTCAGATCGAAGTGAGCAAGAGAGTCGGGGGATCGCGGGTCGCGAGGTTAAGTATCGCTGTCCACTTTGCGGTCGAGGCTACAAAATCAAAGGCTCGCTGATGCGTCATATGAGGATCGAGTGCGGCAAAAATCCAATGCTCAAGTGTCCTTACTGCGACCATTGCACCAAATACAAGACCAGCATCGTCAAGCACATCAGGCACATGCATCCGGACAAGCCCTGTGGATGAACAAGTATTGACTCGCTTTAACCGGGCGCGATCGATTATTTTAGTCGAGTTCGTTCGACCTATCTCTCTCTCTCTCTCTCTCTCTTGGCTACTCTTAACGACAACTTGATGCTAGCGTGGGCATTCGTGCGATAATTTTACCAAACGACCACCAACGACAATATTATTTCATTCTTACGTTCAAATTATGTTTCACTTTTAATGGCTTATATTGTTGTTGTTGCTGCTGCTGCTGCTGCTGTTGTTGTTGTTGTTGTTGTTGTTGTTGTTATTTACAATAAATTACCAATGCATATTTTATTCGAGAGTATGGAATTGCCGTTAGGGTTACTTTTTATCTTGTCCTTTAATTTTGCAACTCTTATTTTTATATTTATTTTAGCTATTTGCTATTTGTATAATATGTAATATCAAGCATCGATCGTAAAACTTTAAATATTTTACTTACGCTTGACTTTATACCAAACTGACAAAGATTGCTACGCTACTCCAAAGACGCATATTAACAAACATTCGAAAATCATGTTTTGTAACAATCATTGTATATTATTATATAATATTAATATGTCTATGCAGATTATAAACGAGAGAAGGATGTTGTATTTAAATAAATCGAGCAAATATTTTACATACATTCTTTATTGTCTTTACAAATATATATGTGTGTGTGTGTGTGTGTGTGGTGCTTTAAGTTGGTGATAGAATGATAATTAGATAAGCTGCGAGTTTAATCCAATGTTATAAATGAATATGTACGATTTTTGTAAATAAATCGACTCATTTTATTTATCAATGAGTATTGACATCGACATTTTTACCCACTCATTTATTCGAAATCTTATTGGAATCTTATCGATTATAGTCATTACAATTAATCACGCATACAAATTTTCTCATACAATTCGCACATTTATTATTATTATCAATCGATTCGCAATAGATAATATATTAAATTATAAAGTATCTTATGCATTGCATGGATGCAATGCAAATCCCATTATAATTTCATATATTTTCATGTCGCGGTTGATAAAAGAAGCTCGAGTGTCCCACGACACTTTGAAATTTTCGTTTCTCGGACAGTAATGGTAATTGAGGATAATCGCGTTCAACTACGTTTTTCCTATTATCCAATGCAATTTTTCATTTGTTTTATCTCCTTAAGCCCAAATAATGCAGTAAATAATTACTTAAATACTCATACCATTCACAATATTCACGATCATTCACAATTTATAATTGTAACACTGCCGTGAATAATATGCTAACTAAAGAATGCGTAAAGTATGCTGCGTTAATTATTAATAAGCATGTCGTAAGTATTTCCACCTCTAGAAGCGCACCGACACGACCCAACAACCAATTTCCCGACGACCCACCAACTAACGATACGATAATCTTCTGATTTCAGATTGCCCATACATCACCTACGGCAACTGCAACATAGCGACTATATCTACGACCTCCAAGGAGATGAACGCGCAGCGTCGTCTCCGCTCCGGTGTCTCCATCCTCAAAAGCAATTGGATACCGCGAAAGTACTTCTGCCCGGACTGTCGACGAATCTTCGACATCCGTGCCTCCCTCGTGCGTCACCGCATGTACGAATGCGAGGGCACTAACGAGCCGGCCAAGCGAGAGAACAAAAGAAAGCCAGTGACAATGGTGAGGACGAGCAGAAGGAGCAACACCAAGATTTCAAAACACCAGCAGCAGCATCAGCATCAGCAAGAACGGCACCAACAGCAGGAACAACAAGAGTTCCAGCACCACCACTACCAGACTAGTATATCAACGACGAACTCTAAGAGCAAAAGACTGTACCAGTGTTCCGACTGTGACAGGGGCTACACCTTCCTCACGTCACTCTGGAGACACCAGAAATACGAATGCGGTGTCGAGCCAAGATTCGCATGCTCCATCTGCAAAACCAAATTCTCTCAGAAAGGCAACTTAAATCGGCATGTTCAGAACGTACACTAAGCACAATCGCTCGTGCGTTCGTTTTTCGTTAATTTGGCTTTAAGGTTTATGCTGCTTTGCTCATTCGATGAAGCACAGTTCAATTTGATGATCCCTTATGCAAAATATTCAAATTTAAAACATAAACAAATCATTAACAAATCCGATTTTTCATCGTCGATTCGACGTTGAATAAAAAACAAACAAAAAATTGCCCTATTTATAGCCCTATATAAACTTTTAGAAAGTTTAAACAAGGCTATTATTTAAATTGTTGAAATAATTTTAATTTAAACAAATAATGAGAGTAAAAAGTTAAATTGTCAATTAAATTTTTATATTTACTTTCAATGTTCCATCAACAAAAGCAATATAATTATAATGCATTGTTATTCAAAGTTTACTTTCACTTTCGTTCGTGTATCCACTCTATGTAATTCGCATTAAAATATTTAATGTTGATTTTATGACAAATGTATGAACGTAAATCATATATTAATAGTGAGTATAGAGTTAAACGAACATTAATATACATACATACATACATACATACATACATACATACATATATATAACTACATATCCTTAACAAAAATTCCTTCAATACAGATTAAAAACATCTTCTCTTTTCTATTATATAAACTACAATAATATTCTCATATCATTTTAATCGTATTTAATTACATTTGAAATATTATTTTAATATAATTTATTATGTTTCATACAGGTAAGAAATCTATTATTTCATTTTCTGATTATACAGTTAGTTTTCTAAAATATCCCAGTAGTATGACCGTAACTAATCATTAATACATAATAAATATTAATATATTTTTATTGTATTTTTCATTTTTTAAACAAAGTATATTGATCTCGCAACAAATAAATTAATGATCATTACGATTCATGAATACATTTATATTTTCATGTTAATGGTAAAAAGCCCAAAAATTATTCATAGATAATAAATCAATTTGGGATAATTTAAAATTCCAAAGTCATGACAATTACTTATATATATATATATATATATATATATATATATATATATATATATGCGTGTGTTAATTTAATTTTATGTTTCATTTTACTTCTAATTTATTATATTAAAAATAATATATACATATTTGTATAAATATGTGAAATAATTACTTGATAAATATTTAAGAATATTGCATTCATAAATTATCATATTTATAATTTATCCAATAAATAATTCAAAAAATTTTAATCAATTGCGCCAAAATGAAGAATCATTTGTTTATGTATTCTCTAAAAATTATAAACCTTGTTTATTATGGAATACTATTAGTTTCTGGAATCTATAAATATTTTTAAGATATAATGTCAAAATAATAATTAACTTTAAAATATCAAAATAGGACATATCTGTATATTGGTATATGTCCACTATTACTTATAAAAAAGTGATACCTTTTAATAAATATTTATAAAATTGAGAAAATATTTATAGATAAACTTCCATGTAATCATAAGCTTAGATAAAGTATAACTTCATTTTTATTAATTTATTTAATACCACCGAGCTATTCTATATATAATTATTAAACCTCTAAGGAAGGCTAAATCTGACGAACTAAAAAACAATTGTTGAAAAAGAATATACTAGAAAATTAAAAAAAAAATTATTAAAACTAACAGATTTAATAGAAGCCTTAATGAAATTTATAAAAGACAGAATAAATATTAATAAATGCTATTAAATACACGTTTTTTTTTTCTTCTTCTTTTTTTTTTTTTTTTTTAATTGAGTACAATAATAGTATATAGTTATGCTTGAGCAATGCTTTAAAATAAATTTTAACATTACATTCATACGATAATTAATGTTTATAAAAATAAATATTGAGTCTGCTAAATGAAAAAATTGATTATAAAGTGTTTTTTCTTTAAAATTGTCGACTCGATTTAATTATTAAATTGCCTGAATAATAATCGATTTATGAAAAGTTGTATGTTTCATAAATACAAACAATGTAAACGTACGATCTTTTCCTACGTGTTACTCTTTTCATTTGTTTTTTTTTCTTTTTCATATTGTAATACAATCATTACAATATCTTTATAATAAAATGAAGTGAACACGATAATCGCATAATGTTTATGCATTGCACAATATAATTTCGCTATATAAATGATATAATGCACATTTATACAAAACTGGAATTCAAACGCTTTCTTATATAATTATAATACATGTAATCATTTTTTTTTTTTTTTTGAATCTCAATAAACTTGTTGCATCGTGAATATATAATTTTCTTTTTGGATATAAATTAAATTATAAAATTACATCCTATGCCAACGAAATAACATTATCTTCAAAAAACAAAAATTCCCTCTTCATTGATAATTCTGTTTAATTGATATATTAAGGTATATAATAAAGATAAATAAATAAAATAAAATAAATGTAAATATCCTTTCCATTTAGTCATCCAAGCTTGTTTAATAAATGTTTCTTGTTGGACAAAGAGTACGCCACCATTGATTCTTACTTCTCAACAAATTACCATCAAATAGTTAGCGCTTACTCATAATTTTTACTTACAAATTTGCATAAAAATCAAAGATAATGATTGTTGTGTCACAGTCAAATCATCGAAGAATAATCCCATTCGCGCAGCATCTTGTACAAGTCATTGTGAAGTAATCGACAGTGTGTGACTTTATGCGAAAGTATTGCAAATTTTTACAATGTTACACGCTTTATTTTTACATCTCATATCAAAATCTTTTTCAAAAAGCCCAAGAGTGTTAGCCATTTGGGGGCAAAAGTCGTTAGATCCAATTGAAAAGTAAAGTGCATAGTTGCATACACTGCTTGTAGCACCACAATCGCCTCCATTGCTGTCACTTCTAACTGTCCTGTAGCGTGGATATTTAAAGCAAGCACTCGTCAAGACAGTCACTAGTCAGAATTGGTCAGTCAGAGTTGGTCAGCCATGAGCTAGTCACTTATAAACGCAGGCGCTCTCTTACTGAGGACGCCAAGGAAGAAAGAAGCTCTCTTCTTTCAACAGAGTCGTCACGGGGGGTAACACACGTTCAGTTTCGTGCAGCTACGTCAGCGTCGAACCTCGCACGCATAGTGCCAAAGCCCACTCTCGGCAAGTGTTCGCTTCCACGAGTCGGTGCAAGCAAACGCCACTCGAAGCAATATATATTAAGGTATCGAACCATCTCTTTACACTTTCACACCACAAGAATCCATCGTGAAGGAGGCGAGGATCAGGTGACCACCACGTGTGGCACTACACGAAGAAGTGTCCGGAGATTTACGACTTCACACTTCTCCCTGTACACATCCACCACCAAGTGCACTTGACGTCAAGAGGATCCGGATATCGACGACCTCTAACCTCGACATGTAGTGCAAGTTACCACCAAGGAACAGCAAGATGTCAACGATTCTCATCATCTACGTAGAATCGTAATAGCGTAGTTGTAAAATAAAACGCAATGAAGATGCAGGAAAAGCAGTTGTGTTGAATAGTCGGTTCAAGCTCTACCCCTTCCACTTTTCTCCCACCAGTAAACTGACGAACTTAGTCTAATTCTAAACTTTTCTAAACTTCTAAACTTAGTCTAATTCGAGTACTTTTTTTAAAAGATACGGAAATATTATATATATAATTCATTCAAATTCTTGTTTTCTCTAAGTTATAGGTGTTTTGTATCATGTATACTACTAACTATAATAAAAATATTTAAATGCTTGAGATTTATTCATCCAGTTTCCAAAACAATTGAACAAAAAAATGTATCTTATCACACATTGTTTTGATAACATTATTTCCTTGAAATTCAATTTCTCACTGATAATAAAAAGTTTGTCCATGTGAATATAGAATTTTATGTAATCACCAAACTCATTGTTAATAATTTCACTTGTAGGTCAGTTCGAGATATTTATGACATCGTACGCGATGTTAGACAATCCAGAAATTACTAAATTGACGACGAATCCTAAGCCGCAGCGCCAACAATGTGGAAAAACGTATTCCAGGCGCCAAAATTATGATGAAACATTTGAAATTCGAGTGTGTCGGCCCCGCGCCATATTTTCTGCCATTTCTGTCCGATAAGATTCAGGCAAAAAAAGAATCTTCAACGTCATCTACTGAATAAACACACTTTTGATGCGAAAACCAGGGATTATAAACCGTCGATACTAATAACTTTCGATCTTTACACTAGCCGAAATTTGCGAAAATTATGTTTTTTATCGATTTTTATCAGCATTGTGAATTAATAAAAGTTTAATAATGCGATAATATTGATCGATCGCTTAACAAACGCATAAGGCAAATTAATTAACAGCTAACCATTATAATTATATAATATAATATATTGTTGAATAGTATCGTATAATGAACATTAATCGATTATATTATTAATTAATCTACATCGATTAATAAATAATAAAAAAAAAAAAAAATTTTTTTTAATCTTACCGTATCAAACGTGTTATATTTTAATAATAAGATATTTTAAAAGTTAATAGTATATTTATTTATCATCTTTTTGATAATTAAGCCTACTAATGTAGCTATTAATCATTTGTCTGTAAATAATATGTCATTTACTATTAAATAAATAATCAACTGTATTTCTTATGAAATAGAACATAAAGCTAAATGTTTATTATTAACAAAATAGTATATTTTTTTTAAATAATGTATATATAATTTGTATGTATTTTAAGTTATATGTATATTTTCATCCTATTTATACAGATGCATTATATCGAGTGTTTTTAATATTAAATCGAATAAAATATTCAAGATATAGTTTTCTTCGTACAATTATTGCCCACAAATGTAACACTGATACTTATTTTTTTAATTTCAATTAAATTCGATTAACCTTCAATACTATCTCCTTCGGTTGTCACGTTATTTTATTTTATATTTTAGATTGCATATATGTGTATTTTTTGTTTCTTCATTATATTATATAATT